GCGGCGCCCAAACGATCTTCCAACCCGGCCAGCTCACTTTCCAGTCGTGCAACCCGCCCGGCCTGTCCGCCCTTCTCCAACGCCCTTTCTTTTTGGGCAACAACCTCAGCTGCATGTTGTCGGAGCGACTCCACATAATGTGACCTGTTATGAACCCTTCGAAGTGTCTCACGCACGGCAGCGCACATACCACAGTAGTAATTGAGCGTTTCAACCACTTGTTTCATTTCCTCATTGGCATAATCACTATATATAAAGAAGAGTTGTTCACTGTGCTGCCCCACGGCGATCAGTGCGTTGCTGAGCGGCGTAGATTCAATCCCCCTCTCTATCTCTCCAACCTTTTCAAAGGCTACACCAAACTCATGCAAGGCGTTACTGGTGTTTCGACGGCGGTCAACAAGCAACTGCAATCGCTCCCGCAGCATCTTTATGCTATCCTCCAGTTGTTGAATATACAGACGTGTCTCCTCCCACACCTGGGGGGTTGCATTGGTGTTTGTTACCACACGCGTATAAGCAGCACCCGCTTCTGCCACGGCGCCAGAAGTATTCCACTGCCTCGTGAAGGCGTGATTGACGCCTTCGCCAAGTGAGGAGGTAAAAAAGCCCTCAGAATTCTTCGCGGATGCCTTCATTTTTCGTTCCCATTCGTCCTCATTCATCTCCAAAAAGTCCTTCAAAAGATGCGAAGTGTGCAGCCGTGGGTGGGCGCCAAGCCGCACAAGAAATTTCCTCAGGGCGCGTTGTCGGTAGTCCCTCAGACGGCTGGCGCTCTGCGAGCCGGACCCCACAATTTTGTCAAGTGTTCCCTGCACATCCTTCTCTGGGATGGGCGGGACGATGCAATACGGGTAGGCCTCGCACAACTGGGCGCGAAACCACTCAAAGTCACTGTAGCGCCGCACAACCTCCAAATCCTTCTGCGCGTATGTTGAGAGAGTCGTGGAGGCACGGATCCGATATGTCCAGTAGGTGAGGTCAAGAGCGCCAGTTCCCCTGCGCTGCTCCGGGTCCAACACTTTGAATTCAAACACAGTTTCCCCCATTGTTTCCTTCCGATTTCTTCGTTTTTTTTTTTTTTTTTCTTTATCTCTCTCTCTCTCTCTCTCTCTCTCTCTTTCTCTCCCTAACTGAATATTTGCTTTCCTAATACCCTTTTCTTTTTTTTCCTTTCCTTTCCTTTCTGATGGTCTGCAGGACGCTTCTTCTCCTTCACTCTCACCTGCCCCCTTATAATCAAAAGCAGAGAACACTACGCGATAATGACTGTGAGCGCAATTCAAATCCGCAAGCAAGTAAAACTGCCCACACAACCCAAATGCCAGCAACCGTAGCTCCAAATCTCCTATGATTTGGGCCTAATGCAAAAACTATATGTGTGTCTGTCGGTATTTCAGTATGTATATATGTGTATATATATATATATATATGTGTATACGTGTGTATATGTGTGAAGGGAACTTATATGGGCAGAAGGGAATGCGTAATGTGGTCGCTTTGCCTTTTATTTCCAAGAGGAAGGAGAAGTTGCCGGCAGAAATGCAAACACATGAAAGACACCAAGCAACCGAGACACACACATGTATTACCCACACAAAAACATACACGCACAGAAAGACGCACATCCCCGCGTGCATGCTTCACACAACACGGTGCCTCCATTTTACAAAACACGGGCACAAATTTTACTCTCACTTTGTGCCGCTTTACGCTTCTCTTGCAAAAATAATAATAATAATAATAATAATAACAAAGTTCGAAGTTTTTTTTTTTTTTTGTTTGTTTCTCTTCCTTTCTTTTTTTACAAAAAGAAGTTCTTCTGTGGCACGAAAAAAAGAAAAAAAAAAAAAAGAAAACTTGCAAGAAAGTTAAAACGTCAATTGCGTCAATGTTTCGCAGAAAATCCTCGTCAAATACACACACGCCCTCTTTGTTTCTCCTTCTTCTTTTCTATAACGCAGACACCAATAAATTCTGTAGGAATCGTCATCACTCCCGCCACCACTTGACAAAGTAAAGGACGATAAAACCAACCAACAACTGCACGCACACATGCAGTCACGGAGAGAACACGGCATACAATCAGCAAAAAAATGAAAAAAAAAAAAAAAAAAAAAAAAAAGAAATATCACATAAAAGCGCACGCACCCTATGCATATATATATATGTAGGGTGGAAGAAAAGAAAAAAAAATCATATAGCAGCACATGCATACATAAAGTGATCTATATATATATATGTATATATATATATATATATATATATATATGTAAAACCAAAACAACAACAGAAAAAAAAAAAAAAAAAAAAGTAAACAAAAACACAAACGAATTAATATTTACAAAAACGGGTGATGAAAATAACGCAATGGAGGCAAATAAACATCGATGAGGTGGAGGCGTGTGGGGTGGAGTGGGGTGGAGTGGGGGAAGGAGGATGAGCAAACAAATTTAAAAAAAAAAAAAAAAAAAGGTCTCTCTCCCTCCCTCCCTCCCTCCTCAGGCCTGCGCTGCATTTCCCCTCCCTCCCTATTCCTCTCCTCGCTCCTCTCGCACCTTCGCGTTTTGGCGTGGGACTCATCGACACGCCTGCCCTGCCCCGCCAGAAGTGTCTATGCTGCTCCCGCCGTCATCGCCGCCCAGTGAAGGAGCCACCTCAAATTGAGGCGCTCAAAATATAAAACAATACAAAGAAGAAAGCAAAAAACGAGAAATGCAACGGTGAGACGGATACATACAACACGCCTTCAGTGCCCGCACCGCACACTTTACAGTTTTCATTTGCTCAAATAAAAATCAGTGAGACCCCGAGACAGGGAGGGCCAGAACACATATATATATATATAAGAAAAAAAAAAAAAAATCAAAAAAAGTTGATTGAAGTGACGTCCAAACTAATGTCGTTATGACCCTCCGATTTCACTGAGTTCTGGCTGGCGCTGTCTTTCTTTCCAGCAATAATACACAAGCCGCATCCACCCCACCACCTGTAAACATTTGCGGCTGCATCTTTTCTCCCTTTGTTGATTCTGATGTCTTCTCGTCAACAAGAGCCAACTGTAAATGTGTAAATAAATACATTTGCATACATATAGAAATATATATATAGATATGCATATCACTAGAGTGCGTTAGTGGAAAACACGCCTACTTTACAGCATAAAATAAAATATACGCCGTTGTCAATGCCTGCATAGCCTCCGTGACAGTTGACAAACTAATTACTGCGTCGTTGCAGTAGTACCAGCGTCCTGAAAACGTGCGCACGTAACTAGTGTAGTGACCCCAGTTTTCCGATCCGCTGTGACAGACAACACCGTACAATTGGTATTGCATTGGACTGTTGCCGTGCGTCATGAAAGACTCCGGAAACACGACGGGTTCTGAGTTCTTTTTCCCTGTGTCGTCAAATCTCTTTAAATGCAACACTAAAATTTTGGGCCACCGTATGATTTTTACGCTGCGTGTCCCGTTTCGCAGTCGTCTACAACGCGCGCAAAGCAACTGATTGCCCCCACGCAATTTCTCTTCCGCCTCATCAAAGCTAATCTTCAGCATGGACTCAATTGTTGCGGCCTTCCTCGCACCGGGAATCATCGGAAGTGAGAGGTCAAGGAATGGGTCAAATGTCAGGGATACCTTGCCACAGGAGGAGCAGACGCAGCTTGAGCGCATCACACCACCAAACAAATCATATATGATGGAATTGTCAACACGAAGATAGTGCTCTTGCCAGCGTCGCATGGCCTCTTCTTCGCTTTCATTTTCGACCTCCTTGAGCTCCTCATACGGTGTATTATGCCCACCACTGGTGTTTATTTCACTGTGCACTACAAAGAGAAATGTCCGAAGAAATTCATGAGCATCCGACTGGCCATTGTCCTGAAACTCCGCGTTGAATTTTGCCGCCTCGCCCTTGACGGTGAGAAGCAGCTGCCCGGGAGCATCAACCCTTGCTGCGCCCAACTCCAACAGAGCCGAAGTCGCCAGACGCCGCTTTGACCATGCATGTGCCTCTGCTAAACTTGAGAAAAGCCACGGAGAATGCAGGATACATTGTATGGTTGCATTCATGTAGCACGTGTTGCCAAAGTTGCGCAACGGGATTGGAGACTGGTGGTCTGACGTTCTTGACGTCTGCATTTCGCTAGTGGACGAGACCTGACGAGCAAAACCGATTGCCGGCGCGCTTGGGGCCAAAAGCGGTTGCAGCTGCGGCGGTCTTCCTCGCAAGCTCAGCAACGGTGGACGGTGAGAATGTGACCGCATCGAGTTCCACCGCCGATCCTCCTGGCCATGCAACGCAGACGGCAAGATGTGGGAAGAGGAGGAGACACCTAAAAATTGCGGCTCGCCTCGAAAGGGTCGCGAGTACAAGTGGTGCATGCCGGGGTACGACGGCAGGCTCGTTTTAGGGACATTTGGAGTAGTTGCGGAAGTGGCAAATGACCGCCCTGGAGGCTCTGCCGTAAGCATAAAGTGGTTTCCCTGTCGTGTCGGGAGACGCCCTGATGGGCCGCCGTGGCGAATCGCGGGAGCGCTCATCCACCCCCGTGCCGAACCTCCACCCTCGTCAAGTAACCGCACGGAAACCAACAAAATTAACTACAAAAAAAAAAAAAAAAAAAAATCAAGCTGCAATATATGCGCCTGAATGAAGCCCGGTCCCCTATTCCTACAAAGAAAAAGAAAAAAATCAAAGTAAATGCCGCGATGGGATCCACAATTCCGCAAGAAAAAATATGTATACATATATGTATATCTTAATGGGTGGTGTGGAGAGACGGAAGGAAGGTAATCGATTTTTTCTTCTACAGACACCACCGCCTCCCATAAAATAGCGGCAAATGCCGGAGATAGCCTCGTACAAACACATATATATATACCCATGTTCTTTCTCTATACATTGCTTGTTGTCCAGCAGCTCCCTCCAAGCCACCCAAATGTGTTTTTTTTTTTTCTTCTTTCTTTATTTCCTCTCCGCCTTTTTTCTCTCATTTACATCAGCGGGCTCCACAATCGTAACATCGTCAGGCGCCCGGAAGAGTCACCAAAGATCACCTCTGCATCTTTAGTATTCGGCACCTGTACAACATCCCACGACGCGACATCTGCGGGCTCTAGAATGAACTCACCGTCAGCCACGCCCTCCACAAGTTCCTTTTCTTCTTCTCTACTGGCATCATCGGCCTCCACCGAATAAGAAACATCGGTATCGGAGACATTATCCCCACCACCGTCCAGCAAACGCTGCGGTAACGCCCAGAACTTCATTTCAAAGCTGTTGCCCAAAGCAAAGAGAGCTTTGCAATCTCCACGAAACCGCAGTGCCCTCACAGTTGCCACGGGCGACTCACGGTAGGCTGCAAGCTCCATGACCGGTGGGATCGCGATCATATCCCCGTCTTCCTTTTGGAGGCTTGTCCAGCAAAGTTGATGGATGGCCACAGATCCATCGTCCAGTGCACTCGCGAGTAGCCTCTCATTCGCAGACAATTGATAAAACAGTTGACTACAAGGGCTCGTCAGTACCGCCATCTCCCGCCCTGTCAATAGACTGTGGAGATGCACAAAACGTGGGGGCGCCCGCCGCCCGCTCGCTGGTGCCGGAAAAGGGATGGGGTGAAGCAGCAGGTGCGTGCCGATCAGGACCGCCTTTCCCGAACTAACCGTAAAGGAGACACCCAAACGCGTCTCGGAAGCAAACTCGTCTCGTGTCGGTGAGAATTGCCACTTTATCAGAACATTATGGCATGTGGAATGAAATACATCGTCCTCAATTCTGTGCGGTATCACGCAAGAATATCCGCGAAGAAGATTTATATCAACACCGTCACAATACCCATGAAGAAATTGGCGCTGGTCCACATGCAACAGCAGTCGACCTTTTTCCGTTTCAAACACCCGAAGGTGGAGGTCCTCCGTCGCCACCAAATAAAAGCGCCCGCGTGCAGAAAAGGCAACAGATGACAGTGGTGCCCCAAATATTCCTCCGTCACACCGTGACAAAAGCTTCATCTGTGCGCTGTCATAAATGAGAAGGGTGCGGTCGTAACAAATAACGGCGTGGTAGGCGCCAGTTTCACAGTAGAGAATTTCCTCCACCCTTGTTGGTGCCTGTCGTAACTGGGCTGCGACAGCACCTGTCACTGGGCTTACCCTGCAGACACTCCGGTCCACACTGCCAGTGGTGATGCGATTTCCCTTGGGTGAAAATAAACAGGTTGTGATTGCGCCGTGGTGAATCACCGTTTTAGCACCCGCTAAAATCTCAAAAAACACAGTGCGACGCTGAACAATGGGGGCATGATAGCTCATCTTGCGTGTGACATATTCCTTTGCATCACTCCCAACAAAGTTATACCTTGCTGCGCTCTCAACCGCCGTTTGTATGACAAGATGCGGAAATTCCGTAAGCCGCGCGTTGTACTCCCGCAAAAAGTAAATGTATTCCCGTAAACGCAACAGTGCGGGGGGTTTTTCACCATGCGTAGCACCATTATTCTCTGGAAATTCGCCCATCTCATACATCTCATAAAGTGTATTGAAAGCAACAATAAGCTCCCGCACAAGGTGATAACCGAGTCTGTTGCGGTAAACAATCATCAAAAATGACATAGACAAGATAAAACGAAACAAAATATGCCATGCATGTGCCTTCACCGCATGGTACGGCAGCTCCTTCACCGAAATGCGTTCATATGGGTTCGTCGAGATTAGACCAAAAATTGGTGGAGTCTTCTCTCGTCCAATTACATCATGCACCACATTGAGATAAAGGTGCGCCAGCATTTCGTGCCACAACTTCTGGTCCACTTCACTTCCCTCCTCCTGAAGGTCCTCCTGCTCGAGTAATGCACGAAACTCACGAGAGCGAATACAAATACGGGAAAGCAAGGCGTTTCCTTCTTTAATACCAAGAGAGAACAATGTTCCATACCCCAACAGGGGACGCATCATACGGAGCAGTTGATTAAATCGCCGTTGAGTGAGCTGCAACATCAGGCGCAACTGCGGCTCATAAATACCCCATCTAGAAGACAAAAGTAGTCGTGTGCACTTTCGAACGAGTGCGGTGCCAAATGTCTGTTGCAAGTTGTTGTATTTCAGTTGAACCATCCCCTTCACAGTGCCCGGTAGAGACGTCACAACGGAATGCGTCTCGATCCCAGGCACCTCATTCAAGCTACGAAGTGTGTCCAAAACTAACATAATGTATTCTGGGCAAAGGGCTTCTTCCTTCTTGCGAATGACTATAAAATCATCGTCAGACAGTGTTGCACCAATCTTTGACAGCATGTCTGGATGGAGCATTTCGTCAAAATCATTCGGTGTTATGGGGCCCAGTGAGAGAAGCTCGGCGCTGTCCGGCCCACGTGATCCTAGCTGATGATGCATATCTGAATTTGTTGCACAGCCCAAGACAAGACGTAAATTACGCGAAAGGCAAACTGGAATATATCCATACCTTGCTGATTGCTGGGCCGGTGGCGCTGGTGTTCCCCATATGTCCTTCCCCGTATCCTCAGAGAGTCGCAGTGCGTTACAGGGACACACAGTGGGAAGGACAGAATCCATTCCATCCAGAATCACCACAGTAATCTGGTTTTCTCCTCCACCTCCGCCCCCCCTCTTAAACGTCTCAGTGGATTTGATTTTATCCGTCAGTAAATCCACAAACATTTGTTGAAGGCGCACAATGTCGACCTCCGCAATCGCCCGTCTGTAAATTTCCTGCTCTGGAAATAATTGAAGAATGACGTGGCATATAATTTCACGCAATTCGTTTGGTTCCTCAGTGAGAGACGTTGCGTGTGTCGTGTGAAACGCAATACGGAACTTTTGCTGTTCCTTTGCCAAGAGACGTGACGTGAATGATCCAATCAGTGCGGTCACCGGCACGGGCTCCGATCCGTGCAGAACGAAGACATTTCTGCTGGGTGGCGTGATAATATACAAGTTCAGACGGTCGGTGATGCTCTTTTTCACAAAAGAATGTTCCACACATGCCCGCAGCAAATCATGCAAGGGCTTTTGATACAACCCTAACTTCTTCGCCGCAAACTTCTCCACGTTGTAGCCCTGGTAGTGCGCTGGATGGCTGTCGTGACAGGGTGGAAAGTGCGCAATCATGATGAGAAAGATGCGCTTGTAAATGGCCTCTACAAACTCGTCCAGATTTTTAAAGTGCACCTGACCATCCTCACTGCAGAAATCAAAAGTAGCGTTGTAGTTGCGGATAACCAGCTCCTGTACCGGGGCCGTCTCCAGTAAATTCTCACGAAAGATCTGATGCTCACGCCATTTTTTCGCCTTCAGTGAGGCGTCGCACTCAATGGTCTGCGTTCCACACACCACATCGGAGCCAACTGTGACAGTCCGTCGGATTTGTGACTGAAGGTAATCCGGGTGCTCCACGTTTGGCTCTTCTGTAAGCAGCGGGGCAAGTGAGGGCGGCACTCCGGTCCGGCGTGTCTCCTTACGAGTGGCAACAATGATCCAGTTTGACAGTGCCGTTGCCAACTCATGCGCTGATTGAAGAACTGGTGATAACGGCGGCGCCCATTTACTCTCCGCACGAATTAATTTTGCCGCTCCATCCTGTCGACGCATGGACTGCAACAGTTGCGGACGTTTCATAATCTCATTTGATGGCAGCTGTTGATATTCGCCGGCACGGTCTCCAATCAATTCAATTGTCACCATCCGAGACTTCTCCACATTTCGCAAGACATCCGCCGCAATGGCAAAGCGCAGATGCTTAAGATAAGTTCCAGCAGGTCCATCTGGTGGGTCCAAAAGGGGCAGAAGATGCACCTTGGAGCTCCGAAGCTCCTCGTTGAGGCGTGGAAAGACTTTCTTTATGAGCAACGACAGCTCTGACTCAAAGAGAAAGGGTGGAGACAGAATAGCGACCTCTATCAGCCGCCAACCAGATTCTCTGTCTGGAAGTGGAACAAATCTGCGATCATTGCCTGTTTCGGCTGCTGCGGAGTGAGTAATTTCTCTCAGGCGATGAAGTGCCTCCTCCTCCCGACGCTCCCACTCCACCTTTCGAACCGTCTCACGAATGGTAGAACAAAAGCCTCCCTCGGTGCTGCGTGTCACCGATGTTGTATCGTCTGCTGCATCGGGCGATGTTGCCGCAGCCCGAGCGGCAAGTAATTTGTTCCGCTGAAGGCCAAGCTGAATCTTCTTCATTACGGCGTCCGGCACCTGCGTCTCACTCATATCAATGTGAACCACATTTTTGTTCTGCTGCAACAAAGAAATAAGCGCGAGGCCAGCGGCAAGAGAGATGTTGTTACATGAGAAGTCCAAACTTGTAAGGCGTGGGTGCTTCACCATCGCCCGGCAGAAAAAGACGACGGCGTCGTTGTTGAGTCCACTGCCCGGTAAGTGCAGCTCCTGAAGCTTGTCGTTTTTCGCGAGAAGGCTCGTCATGGCCTGAAGACCCGCGGCACCAACGTAATTCCGCGTGAGGTCAACGACAGGGCTGTGACGAATGATGTCCACATTTTTTGCCAGCACGGTGTTCACCTTTGCCTTGAGAGTGGTGTAGTTGGCGACGAGTTCGTTGTACGCCGCCTGATCCGTCACACCGGGCGCCCGTCCTTCTGCGGACTGCGGCCTGAAGTCCAGATGCGGCAACACCGGACTCCGCGCGCTGGCCATGGATCTTCGCCGCTGTAGCTGGGGATATTTTGCTGCGTCGACAGGAAAAACAGAAAAAAAAAAAAAAAAAAAGAAACAGGAAGGTGAAAAAGAGTCAGAAAAACAAAAAAATAACCTCACCACCACCACCACCACCAACAAAAAAAAAAAAGGGCCAGAGGCTGTTCTTAAATAAGAGCCTTCTAAAAAGAAAAAAAAAAAAAACGCACAGAGTCGACCATTTGACAGCTGATGATTCCTTTCCTTTTTTGCGTGTTTTGTTTTTCCGCACTCCCTCCCCCGTTATTTCTCGGTGGCCAAAAATTCCTCATCCGTCATGACCGGCATCGCCGGTCTGCTGCCTGGCGGGGTGTCGTCTCTGTGCCCCCCGCCTCCGTCTGTGTGCTCGTCCCCCACCCCCACCTCCTCCTCGTTGTCGTCTTCCTCGGCGGCGCCATCATCGCCGTCATTGTTGCTGTCGATCTCCTCCTCGTCCTCGTCGTTGAGCATGGCAGCGAAGACGCCATTTGGGCATCCCGTCCTGCCGATCATCCGCGCAACCCACGACTTCTCCGGTGCAATGAGACCGACAAAGTTCGAAAAGTCGGCGGTAGTGACATCGTGCAGCTCATCGCGGCTAACAGGCCCCGTGCCACACACGGAACACCCGTCACGAATAAACTGCGTCTCCGTCAAAATGAGGCGGCACTGACGACACGCAAGATAGCCACGGTCGCCAATGGGCAGCTGGGGCGGCGGCTCCTCCACCATGTCACTTCCTCCCTCTCGAGATAGAGACAACAACAAGAATAAAGAAGAAGCAGCACGCAAAACCGGAAATCCGGCAAGACAAAAATCAAATTGATTTGAAAACAATACAAACCAAAAAAAAGTGTTAAAGACAACATTTCTTGTAGGCAGCATATAAGCACCCAAATGACAAAATGTACACCCGTACATATGTAAACACAAAGATAAATAAGATTCTTGGAAAAGCACCTGGTGGAGGGTCCACCCACTTTCAGGAGCCAACACAGGCCAGCAACGGTTCAAAGGTGTTGATGTCTTTCAAAGCGACCGCAGCGACGTACGGAGACCCAAGGGCATCCATTGTCAAAACAAAACTCACATTGCATGTTCCAATCAACGGGTGACGCTTGGAAAAGCTATTTCCCTCTTGTTCAATGCCATCCGTGCATGCATGCTTATCATCCTTCTCCTCCTCGTCTCGCAGGACAAGACAAGGACAGAACATCAGCTCATTCGTTACAATCAGTGAAAGGCCCTCGAGGCGCCGAAGAAGGTCAGAAAGTGTCATTGCCTCTTCCACGTCCATCTCACTATTTGTTGGCCCTCTGCCATCATTTTGCATGCCGCGCAGCTTACGACGAACCCGTGCCGGTAAAAAATACTTCATTGGTATCTCCAATACAGAGCTATCGGGTCGCCGTCGTCCGTCAGACGTGGGCACAATCAGCCCACCCACAGCGGCCACCACCTCACCGCTTTGGTACGACTTGCCAGCAAAAACCCGACGAACAACGCCCTTCAATAATGACTGAGACGCGGAATGAACGGCAGCATCCTCGCTATTGTCGTCAGTGTCGTCATACTGATTCTCGCCACACAAAGAAGAGCTACTAATGTAAAAGAGGTAATCCGTGGCGTTACTGCTCTCCGCAGTTTTCGTTTCGCCTAAACATTTCCTCGTTGGATTCGATGCTGTTATCGCCTCAGCTTGATCCTGCACACTGCTTGGTAGTAGTTCCTCTTTTTGCCACAACTCTTCTTTTTTTCGCCGCACTCGTGGCCTTCGTCCTCTCTGATGCAGTTGAGTTCGTTGTTGGTGTTGTTCTCTTGCCTCGCCCTCCTCTCTGCCCCGCTTACCCTCACTACCCATTGGCCGATGCTCTTCCTCACTTGCGGTATTGACGGCATACAAAAAGATGCTTACGTGCGTCTCAAATCTGGAGTGCTTTCTAATGGCCGAGAGCGGAACCGCGGAATCCCACACCTGCCAGGGGAGAAACGGGACGTTGAGGGGCCAACTCACGGCTTCCGAGCCAAATGGGAACGTTAATATTTGTTTTGTGGCGCTTCCACTCGCATCACTACTGCCGCTGCCCTTCTGGTTGCTTTTGACACAAATTCCCTCTGATGACGAGGCGATGTACGTTCCCAACGCGCCGGTTCCATCCTCAATTGCCGTTGAAAAGGGCAAATCCGGCGGCTGCTCGCCCAGCGGGGACGACGGCACGGACGACACACCTCGAATCACCGACGCCAACACGTCCTCACGTGACAATGAAGGGGAGCAACAAACTGCCACCATGCGAGCCCGCTGAAGTCGAGGTGAACGGCATAAGAAGCAGTGATTAATACTCACAGGTGTGGGGCTTCCAATGCTCCACATTCCACACTGTGGACACTCCCACAGTAGCACCATCTCTGTATTCTCATTTTCGGCAGGTGAATGGGCGCCCGAGACATCAACTGATTTCTGTAGCCATTTATGATAAATCCGTGCGGTATCATCATGACCCCCAAGTGAGGCAAGAGAGTTTAAATTCCTTCTCACTGGGGCCAATTCTAGATGAGGAATCAAACCGTTTCTCCTTTTGCTCATAAGTTGCGGAAAGGGGACGATGCCACCAGCCCGCTGGCGCGTAAGAAGTTCTCCTTTTAATCCCACCCACGGACTGGGCGTGAGACTATGCGCTTTACCGTATGACATCAGAATCTCCTCGCCCTTGTTAATAATTCGCCTGGAAACCAATGCCGTGTACGCCTCTCCCCGCGGCGTGAACCGACTCTCCGCGGTGAGATTCGCCACAAGCCCCTCAACCCCTCGAGGGTCATTTGCAAAACGGCCGTAATTGCCAACAAACTCGGCGTCCAAAGCATATTCATCTCCAAAGGAACCAAAGCCCATCGTGTAGGTTCTAGAGCTGCAGGAGGTACTGAAAATTTCGATATATCCGCTATAGGGTGTCACGACTGTGTTGGCAGGGATTGTATTCTTTGCAAAAAGACCGATCTGTCCGTATGCAGGATGACGCGGGTCTGTCAAAACGCGAAGCTCAACGTATTCTTCAGGTAAATACCTTGAAGGTGTGAAGTGTGGAATGGCCTCAGTATCAATAAAATGTTGTATAAAGGCAAACAGCTCCATATAAAGAATCATACGGTCGTGCTTGCTGATGGAAGGATCAAAGAGGATAAAATGCTGGGCGTGGGCACCTGCATGAAATTTAAGTGAACGGCGTGTTGGCGCACAGCGAAGAGACCGTGAAGTCTCCATTGCATACGGAGGAGCCTTGCGTGTAAATGAAAAAGCCAAACACGCAAAATTCTATGTAGACTCGCTTCTTTGCTAGACCGCTTATATATGCTCCTTCCCCTTCCCTTCTCCCTTACTCTTAATGTGAGATGCGTACGTGGTATCTGTACCCCGTTCCTCCTTGACTCATTTATCTCCCACCCACCCCAGCAGCCAATGCACCAAATTGCACGTTTGAATGCAGAGCCGCCACACACATAGAGGCAGAGAGAGAGAGAGAGACAAAAAGGGAGAGAAATGGAGAGAATTTTTTTAAAAAGGGAAGAAAGAAATAATTCCAAAGAAAAACAGTCAAAAAATAAATAAATAAATAAATCCCAAATTCACAGGCAATACGTTTGCATTGCGCAGTCACCGTTTTGTAAAGAAATGGAAAAGATATTGTACCGTACAAAACTTAACCGAGAAATCCAGCCGGCTAGTCACAACAGCGGCCTTGAACTTACTGTGTAGCCGCGTCCCAACAAAGAACGACAAAAAAAAACACTTTTTTTCCAAAGGTTTTCTTCAGAAGCAACAATCGCAGTCAAAAGGGCAATTGGCGGTCGTGCCTGCTTTGGGGTTCGACGACGTGATACCTCGCAGCTCCTCCAGAGTGACAATGCGATCCACACCCTCACGTCGTAGCACCTCCTCTGGAAATTCGGTGGCAGTGGATGCGTTGGCCTTCCTCTTCTTCTGTTGTCGCTGCGAGGCCACATCAAAGAATGCCGAATCACTCAACTCCAGCGTCTTCTCCGGTGCGTGATACAAGCCGTCGCTGACACACTGGGAGGCAGTTTTAACATCTTTGCGCCGCTGAATAGGGTCGCCACCAATTCGGCTGCGGCAACCGTCTCGATGCAGCTTCTCCCGCATGGCAGCAAAGATGTCCGCAATTTCAGACTCGCCCTTGGGCTCCACAACAACTCTTCCGCCCCTGCACCCGGCAGTTGCAGATGCCACACCTACAACAGTGGTGGCCTTGGACTTGGTGCCGCCAAACTGTTGCTTCTTTGCCCTCCTCATCATCACCAGAAGCCTATCAAGGCAAATATTGCAGGCAACATGTATATATTTATATATATGCGCAAAAAAAAAAGAAATGCGGTGGCCCGCATAGGAAAAGCAAATGCATGCACGAAAGCAAAACGATGTTCACAATTACGTCGCCACAGTACGAGCAGTTCAAGTAACATATATATATATATATATATATATATATACCAATAAAACATAAAAAAAAAGTTAATGCATGCTTTTGTGCCCCTCGTTTCAACCACCAACACCTTTCTCTCCTTTAGACGAGACCTCCCTACTTTGCTTCCCCTCTCCCCTCGCTCCAGTTACCTCACTCACCACCAACAACAACCCCGCCCCCTTTTCCCCGCTTTCAGTCCTGAATTTTACTTCCACAAACATTATAAATGTCTTCGTTTTCGAATTGTTGACAAAATATAAACAAAAATAATAATAATAATAATAATAATAATAATAACTATCATATATATAAATAAATATAAATATACCTTGTGCATCAAATCCCCTCAGTGGTTGAATACTTCAGGCTCCCGCGAGAACGGGGCACCAGCCATTGTCTTTTCAACCTCCTCGACGGTGCGGGGGACGAGTGTCATGTTGATTGCACCCGTCTCCGTGATGAGAACGTCGCTTTCAATGCGCACTCCGCCAAAGTTCCACAAAGAGCGCAGCTTGGCCTCATTGAGGTGGGGCTTGAACTCCGGGTTCTGG